GTATATATGGAAATGTATAAAGGAAATGTAGAATAAAAAGTTTTACATATTTTTTTGGATATTAAATTTATATATAATAAATTTAATATGTCGATATGCCAAGATGGATAATCTGTGAAACACGTTGATATAAAACCTTGACATTATTAATAATAATATATTCATTATAGGTTCTAGGCAATTGCACGATCGATAAATGTGTCATGGTCATAAATGCTGGATTAATATTTGCCGATCCATATTAACTTATTTTAGATTACTGTTTAGTATACATACAATTATACGTAGCAGAAATAATTAATTGAGTTTGCAATTATATTTGACAGAGGATATTACTTTAAATTATGTTTAATTAAAGTTGGAATATATTTAATATAATAAGAGTTCCTTATCTTTTATTGATATTATATTGAATTATAACGTCAGAAACGAAAAATTACACGAATTTTATCTTTGCGTAATACATTGAAATAAATAGTTTTTTTAAAATAAACTTTAAATAAATAAATTTTAATAATAACTTAAATAATAAACTTTACGACAATTGATCATGATTTTATTAATTCATCAATCAAAAAGGAAGAATTCTTAATTAATATTTAATAATATTAATTAATATTTTACTAATCTATTTTATCGAGAACGCAAGTAGTCGTATTTTCAAAAAAACTTATTTATTATGATGTATATATTTCGCAAAAATAAAACTTCATATGATTTTTCGCTTCTGTATTACGTAATTCAATATGCAATGAAGACAGGAGTTTTAAATTTATTATTTATGATCAGATATAAATTTTAATAAAACTCGTGGATATATCTGTAAAGAAAAATTATATTTAAAAAAATTAAAAAGAAATTATATTAAATAACTAAAATATATTCAATAATAGAGAGAGAAAATGTATTTGATATTCTACATTGCGATATTTAGCGCAAGATATCTTCTCTTATTCGAAAGTCATATTTATATTAAAAATGAATATGATGTATCATTGAGATTTCAAAAGTTCCAAATTGAGATGCATCATAAATCTGACATTAATCTATTTTCGTTTAGAAAGTGTATGCCAATATACCACAAAGTTATTCGATTCCGAAAGGAATTTTGCACTGTTTTAAGCTGCCCCTTATCTCTCTGGAGCATCCAAAGTCGAGATGACGGGTGACAGCGGCTAGACATGCGCGCTACTGGATATATCGCTGTAGTATCATAGACATCCTTTTCGGCTTTCCTTCGCAGGGAGAAGTACCTGGCAGATTTCAACCGATCCTTTTTTACCGGCTTTGACAGTGATAGTCACGAACTCGATATTTTTCTCGCAATGTAATAATATCAAACTCGTGTATAGTATATACACACATACACACACATACGTTTGTACGTCATTCATATTTTCATTTTTATTAAAGCATAGCATTGCACCTGGTAGTTTCATTTCTCGGATCGACGGGGGTCCATAGCAATAAAGTTGAACGTATTCGTAACGTGCGAATTAATACATTCCGGCAACAACTCGCTAGAACGTAAAGTCTGAGCGTAAAATGAAAGTCTTGGATCTCTCTAAAGCGCGACATGGGCGAATATATATATACGTGAGGACGACTTTGATATTTCTAATTAGATTTCTGTCAAGAGTAATATCCGAGAAAAGAGATAGTCCTCGAAGGATGGCGAGCTTTCAAGTTTAATCAAGCTTCATTTCGAGCGGCGGACTTTCCAGAGTTGTAATGACAATTGTTATTATGTGGAATGGAATTATTTACGCCTTTGTTAATTAGATGTCAGTGAACACGCTTACCCACGTGTAAAACATCGACGGACCGACGATATTTATTCTCTCCTCGTGTCTACTTTGCATTAACCGGTGTAACTGGTATAAAACGAAAAAAATTCACTATCCTGACATTATATTAATTGCAGGAAAGATAATATTACAGTTAAATGCAGATTTTGCAACGAGCACTGCAATTTGTTTCTTGTGATACTTTGCACCTGCACAAAGCCCTATTTTGCACTACACCGCGGCATTAAATCTGCAAAGGCAGCAGAAAATGCAGTCAGCATGTAAATGCGCTTCACGTATTACGAGTTTAATCCTTTTGCAACAGGAGTCCTTTTCATAAATAAAAAGAAAAGGAGATTCTTCTTCTTTGCGAAAAAAAGCTTTTTTTTAAATTACAAAAAGGAAGATTTTTTCAATAAATAAAATATAAGATTGAGAAAAAAAATATAAGATTGATAAAATATAGACTGAGACCAAATTAATAAAAGATCATAAAATGATTGGAAAACCGCTTAAAACTGATTCGGATAGTATCGAATAGATATGGAATACAAAATTAGCAAGAATGATATAAAGTCGATCCTTATATACGTAATTTAACGTCGAAATGCCGGAGTATTATTCTCTTGAATTTCGCAGTATATAATTAATATTGGCATTTAGACATGGTGACTGACACTGATTCTGTCACTATAACTGACATTGACATTGTCTTTTGCAATTTGCGATTGAATCGGAAAACTCGTTTCGTCATCTTCATTTAAATTTCAAACAATTTCGATAATTTTGCTCGCGTAAAATATATAAACGGTATCTTTCCAACCTTACTTGAATAGATGGATTAAAATGGATATTACCAAATTTAAATATTCCGTCATTAATTATAAAACATCTTACTAGCTGCGTTTGTACAACAATTACTCGATAGCCTCGATCGTTTAATTTTATTACTGTAGAGAATAATCACTCGCATTTATTATTCATTTTTAATGATCGACTTCCATCAACTACACAGTAAAAAATAAAATGTTAATTTTAAAATTGTTCATATGTCCCAGAAAGTCCACTCTAAATTTTAAGTTAAAATAATTCATTCGTCGTATTTTATTTATTGACAAACTAAAAATGTTAAATAATTGACCCAATACTTTACATTTATTTTTGTTATTGTGACTTTAAGTATAACGTAAAAATAACGTACAAATTAATTAAAAATTACATGAAAAAATAGTTATTACAATAATTCGTAAGAAATGTTAAAGACATTAACATATAATAGTAATTATTTCAACTTAAATTATTTGTAATAAAAACATTTGATTTTAGTAAATTTGATTATTTTTGTATGTCAAAATTCAAGATTATTTGAAGATTTACTTTAACTTTCCTTAGAATATTAAATTGGCATTGAGACATATTGATTGTTTTAAAATCATTATGTTAAAAATACTCACAATAATATTCCATTTCTAAGAGACATGTACAAAGTGTCAAGTTATGAAGTTGACATAAATGTAACACATGAAAACGTTATAAAAATAATAACATAGGTTATATGTTAATTTTACATTCAAGTATTTCAATAATAATCAAAACGTGATAACACAAGAAAATTTTAACACAAGGACAATTTTTTACTATATTTACGGTATTCTATTTTTTGTAGATTCACTATTCTGTTTTTCCTTTTAAGAAAACATTTAGAAGAGACTGAAAAATACATGCACGTTCTCTTTCACGGATAACCCTTTGAAAAAGGAGGAATGCGGAAGCTCTTTCACAAAGCCGCTGTGATAGTTTCCTGGATGCTTGCATTTGTGCCAGCCAATACACGTTTTCGGATACTTTTGCGCGATGCTGGAGTCATCGGCCCGTGAAATCGGGCCCGCGTGGGCGTCCATTCACACGCGAGAACGCGCTCCCGATAATAATTTAGCGCTTTAATTTTGGAAAATCTCCGCGGTCGCTTTGTGAACCTAATGATGTGTGCGCGGAAGTGCGGCGGTAAGTATGTATAAGCTTTCATGAAGCGCGTTTCGCGTGTTATCTCTCACCGGGGCGGAACTCGAGCGAACTCTCGCTTTGTTTGCGATCTAATGTATCGAATGCACGCTTTAACCGGACCGTTTACAACCTTGTTACTATCCTATCGATCGTGGCTTTTCAGCTTTCGAAGCCCGCATTTTAATTCGCGCTTCATCGTACGAGAAATTATTTTCCAGCGAAAATTATTTTTATGCGTTTCTCTCTTTTACATAAGCGCCTAGTTAAATCACTGCGTTTTATACGTACTTAATATTTGTCTTTCCACTTGGCGTATCTTTTATTGTTCCCGCAAATTATAATCATGGCTATTTCATATTCAAATACGCGCATCCGTCGATCGCAGCCGAAAATTGCGAATCATGCGCGATGAGGAGAACGAAGGAGAGAAAGAGGAATAACCCTCCCCTGATGGGAGGAAAAAACTTTTTTTTTTCTCTCACTTTCATGCAAATCCATGCCCTGTAATTGCTGGCGGGCGAACGGAATCTCTCTCTCGTTCGAAACAGGGTGGCTGCGACAGCGGATCTCCACCGGCCTCGTGTTTGCCTCGTTTGTCTTCCGATTTGGCTGGCTGTGATCAATGGCGAAGGAGAATCTGTCGTTTTCACATGGCGACGAGATCTGTCGAGGCGTGAAAACATCGTGAGATTTCGGGCGATGGACCCATTATCGGCGCTCGTCAACAACGTGTCCCTTTAGAAATTCATGGGGATGTCCGCATAAATTTTTTTCTTTACATTTGAAAATGTTCCCTCTGACAACAATAAATTTTTACGTGCACGAATAAGCGTGGCATCGGAGATATAACGTTAATATCTCCGATGTTTCTTTGACATAAGAAGACGCGCAAACATTTTCAAATAAGATCGGATTTGTTCTTCCTCGGCGGCTGTCTCCTTGAAGCTTCCAACATATCTGGCATTCTCCGAGAATACGGCTCTTGGACTGAATCGTATTCGTCTTCTTCAAACGATAAATGCTGGGTATATTGGAGACTTTCAATGTCCCTTGTACCTCGGGTTGGCGGAGCTTGGTTTCAAGTTTCAAACAGTCTCGTGTGAGCCGGGACGAATGTTTCCCTCATGGAAGATTAACGATTGGTGGGGGAGTGTCTTCGCTTCTTTTCCCTTAGACAGCGTCTAAAAGTTCTCTTCTTTTGTGTTTCAGAATTTACGCTCGATCCTTCCGACGCCCGGCACATCGGTAAGTCGTGCAATTTTAACAACTTCTCTTCTCAGACCGACGTTACTCTGTCAACGATATTACGCTCGTAGCATTACGGGATTGGATGATCTGACGCGAAGAATCTCTAAGAGCTTGAAAGATACATAATTCGTTATCTCAGAACGCATTTGCTCCATAATGGATATTATCAGATAACTGCAAATGCAAGTAACATTTCTGCAATTATCCAACATGAGTATTCTGGATAATGTTTTCACATAAATGTAGAAAACGATTTAAGAACCGAGATCTAATGATATAATTAACTTTCATTTTGATGCAAAACTAAAATTATAATATTACTTGAGAAAGAATAATTTTATTTAATGGTTCATTATTTTAATGGTTCTCTCTTTTTTAATTTATCGTGATAGAATATATCGATAAAAAATATATTGCACGAAAAAGCATAGACTGATCGAGTGACTTATGGAGAGATACCAATTTCGCCCTTACAGGTGCTTGCACATTGTTAAGGTGAGCCAGAAGGCTTATCTGAGGTTCGATGACTGATCGACGAGTATCGATTAACGTTGACGCTCTCAGATGGTTTTTTTACCGTCGATTTGAAATTTAAATCGACCCGAGAGTAACGGGAGACGAGCTGGGGCCAACATATGACGCACAATGACATACGTGCATACAAATAGCCAACGCTTCATGGTGCGCGTGCGTTGGCCGGATCGATCAAACGTGCATATATCGATGTATGCAAATATATATTATCGCGCAACGTTGTCTCGCTACATTTGAACGCGACGATAAAATAAAAATTTTTACTTGCCGCGAATTGAAAGAGGCAGAGCGAGTGCCTCTACCATTCATCGCGAATTTTCCTGATGACAAACAAGCAGCGTGATTTGTGTCAATACCTTATCGCTGAGAAATATCCTCGTGGAATGATAATGTGAATTTCATTTTATACGTATTCGAGCTCCCGGCTGAGTAATATTAATGGTACTTACTGATTGAGTATTCAGTTCGTGATTCAGTTCATGATTTTATATATGTATAATATACAAGGTGTCAATCTCTTCCCAAAGAAAGCTCTTGTAGCTTACCTCGAGAGCTTTTTAAACCACTAGAATAGAGTATTTTTTTATTGAGTACTTTTCGAGGCTTTATGAGGATTGAAATAATCTTTTAATTTTACATAAAATATATCTAGTAAAATATTCATTTTTTGATTATCTTATTTTAATATTTTTATGTATAAAATAATGAAAGGAATTAATTGGTGTAAAGAAAACACATAATTGTTTCGAAAAAATATATGTAATTGTTAATTGGTTACACACCAATTGATTCCTCTCATTATTGTGTACATAAAAGTATTAAGATACGATAAGATAATCGAAAAATAAATATTTTATTAGATATTTTATGGTTTATGTACAAATTAAGAAATTATTTCAAGCCTCACAACTCGAAAAGTAAATGAAAAAATACCTTATTATAATGTTTTGAAGAGCTTTCGAGATAAGCTACAAGAGCTTTTTTTGGGAAGAGATTGCTCTGACACCCTGTATATATATTCATTATTAATAAATTACATTATTGAAAATAGATGAAGAGATCTCTATTTTGATACGTGAAGAAAATCTCAAGATGATAAAATCGTTGCATTTTTTGTAGTTAACAATTTAAAAGCCATTAGTATCTCGATATTTTTATTCAGAAGAAATCGCTTTCATCTAATTAATAAACTTCTCTATGGCGCGTATTTTTAAGAAACACCTCATATATCTTTAACGTGTTTTCCTACAAAAGAAACAACGCATTTCGCGTATGGTTTAACGATTACAGATCTTATCTTTAATCACACTTATGGAAGAGAAACTTAACTTGCATTACGCGACATGTCCTCTTTCTCTCTCTCTCTCTCTCTCTCCTCTCCTCTCTCTCTCTCTCTCTCTCTCTCTCTTTCATTCGCATAAACATGCATTCACGTGTGCATCGGCAGCATATGCAGTGTGAGATAGGACTTCCGACGCGCTTTTCCGACTACGTGACGTCCGGACATCCGACATCTGTGACGTACTGTTGCCAACACGTTTCTAGCAGAACGGATGCGACTGATGACCGCGGTATTATTATTGCGAGCGAGTCTAACATCTATCAAGTTTCTCGAAATTCGGATAACCGCGCACCCGAGCATTATTAATCGATCTCCGTAATCATGGCAGCTTCAAGACAGTTTGATAACGAGCAACAAGATTACTCGCACGGTAGGAAAACACCTCGGCGAAGATGAGGTTCACTGAGCCATGTCTATAAGCATGCCAGCTGCTTTGCATCTACTTAATACTATAATTTATAGATACTATCATAAGTACACTACACGATACGGGAAGATGATTACGCTAAAAAGATATCTAACACGCACGATTCCGGGAGAAAATTAAATTAAATTTATGTAGAAATTGCTTCAAGATAAAAAAAAAATGTCGAGGCGCAATTAGCTCTTAAATTAACTATATTAAATTTAAGTAGAGATTATGAGAAAAAAATGTCGAAGCGCAATTAGTTTTTAAATTAACGAGTTATCTGCAAATTGAGCCTTGAGAGAAAGGAAATTGATAAATCAAACAACAAAACGATGCTTCAACTGTATAATTTAATTTGGATCAATTTAATTTGAAATAACCGCTTTTCGAGAGCGTAATTTGCGAGCGATATAATATCTCTCTTATACAATAATATAAAAATATTTCAATTGCAAAAGATTAATCGATATATCGGATTCGATGGTCGATGATTTCTGCGGCCAGGTAGTGCTGGGCAGTATAATTCCATGGCTTGATCGAGCCAGATGAACGAAGTTATCGGATAGGGCGGTTATATGGGCTTTGAGGTGGGAATGTCCAGATATTTGTGGAAAGCTGGCAAAGTTTCCCCTCGCAGTAGTAATATAGCATCTGCGAAAATCGATATTCGATAATCACGAAATTCCAGAGCTTGCGGCGTCGCCTTTTCTTGCGAATCCTACCGCAAGATATATTAAAAGAACCAAAAAGAGAGTTGACTCGTTTGAAAGCTTGGCGCGGTTTAATACAAAATGCATGATTTAATATAAGCGAAAGGGCAGAGGTTATTTAGTTGGAGTCTCTTCCCCTACTCTCTCTCTTTTCATAAATATAACTGTATTATATATAATGCAGTTATATTTATGAAAGAGAGCAAATTGGGAGAAAATTGCAATAATGAATTATCATACATAAAAAAAGAAAAAGATATATATGATATATATGTACATATTTCTCTCTTTTTTAATGTGATAATTTATTATTACAATTTTCATTAAAACTGTAACGAAAGCTTTCTGTTTCTTTTCATTATCGACTATAAGCAATTTGTATCAGTTAACAAAAAAAAAGAGAAATCTATCTTTTATAAAGAGAGAATTTTTGCTATCTCTTTATACAATCGTAAAGATCCATATCGTTATTCTAAGAAATTTTGATTTTTATAGCAGGACATTTTAATAAGAATATAAGAGTGACAACTATCTTTATATATATCAATTTTTTACAAAATTTTTTTATTGGTTGGATAAAATTTATCACATTACATTAATTTAATAAAGACTGATACGTGTGACACGCATGTAGCTTTCAAAAATATACGTTGACGTTAATTGTGATGGACACGTACGGAAATTTTTGACTTCATTTATTTTAATTGGATTATTTTCATTTGAATTATATTTTGAATTATATTCATTTATTTTAATTGATTTGTCGTTCTTTCATTCTTTATTAAATTTCCCTGGACTTTTTAATTAGAGACTACAACCAGATACAAGCCTTTAGATATATGTGTTACAGAAATGAATTTCTAAAATAATATTTTTTTATAATACTATAGTATCTGAATTAGACATTCTTATTATACAACATATCCAATATTACAACATATCCTATTTTATTAAATGCAGATTATTAGAATCGATAAAATAATGCTTCAATGGAGTAAATTAATAAAATGGAATAATAAAAATTTGAAAATTGCGATAAATGAAATTGTGATCTCTTTAGTCATTTTCTGCTAAAGAGGGATAATCTTCCAAAGAAGATCATTTAGAAAATAAAGTCTGCAACAAGGAAAAAAATTATGTTATTTTTTTTAGACATCGTTATTATTTTACTTTTTCTCTCTTTCTCTCTCTCTCTATGCATGTATATATTTTTTTTACAAAACTGTTAATATATCAACAGACGAGTAGTATATTCAAGGTTAAGTTATATTAAAATTTTACGAAAGTCTTTTTCTACGCTCGGTTTATGGGGATTTTCATCTTGCTTACACGAAATGCTTGCGAATACAAACATAAACCCCTGGCGCGTTAGTATATACGCATCGGTGTAATAAGGTCGTTGGCTATGCGCGTTTTATCGTTCGTGCGCGCGTTATTTCTGTTTCGCCGCAAACGGAAACGCGCTTGGCTAAGGCGTCTGTATTTTTCTATATTTGAACGGAACAAAAGAGCTATGTATATATCATATTGATTCTTCAAACAAAGACCGCGATTCAAAGAATGCTGAAAATAATACATGTATAACTTACATTTTTTTTCTAAAATAATTCAAACGTTCCAAAAACATTTTAATTTTTAATCGATTAATGATTACAGATACATTTCCTTTTTTAATAATACGTAATAATATACATATCTTACAGAAAATTAGATATACGATATGATTGAATAGCGCAATCAAATGCAACTTTTATCGGATTAAAGAAGGAACAAAGACGTTTATGCTGTACGAAAATGAAATTTAGAAAACCATTTGCATTCGCGAACAATTTGCTTCAACGTGTATGCCGTTTGTCAAGCGCAGGGGGTCCAGATGGCAGTCTATTTCTTGCCATGTCGATTTAGTACGCCCGTAACTGCCATTGCGCATGCAGCTGTGATCTTACCGCGGAGATCTTGCAAGTTTGTCGCTTTGGTGTGTTGTATAGATAGCATCTCTTCG